ATAGATAGATAGATAGATAGATAGATAGATAGATGTTAGATAAACATTCCACCTTGATTCACCTGCATCTGTGCACACAACAATGCATTCGTGGACTTTGTTATGGTTATCCCAAAACGTATCCCAACTTTTATACAAAGATCGTTTTGTTCCGGACACCTGGAGTTCCACACTGGGTGTAGAGCCCTATTTATTGTTCTTACTGTAAATGGCCCTTAAAGGTGGAACGATCAAAAACCCAGAAAGAGCTGGGTGCGTTCATCCAGACACATCATCCGCCCCGGTTTCCGGCTTCATAAAACCGGAGTGACGCCAGTGGATGGGATCATTCCAGCAGGCCAGCAGATGAGAATGGCTGTCCGAGTGATTTCCCAACTGAATGACCAATGAAAACGGAGACGTAGTCACGTAGACATGGGCAGAAAACACGATACTTTAAGCTGTTAGACGTATAGACGTAATCCTTGAAAGCGACGAGTCGAGTTTTCTAGGCCCGGTCTGTTTTTGTGGTTATAGAACACCTTCCTTGAATGTTATGTAGATGACCTTAATAGTTCGGGCCGTAGTGTCCTGAAATAGAGCTCTTCCACTATGCTCTTCGTACTGCTGTCGTCTCGGAGGACAGGTGAAACACCCGTAGGCCCTCTCTTAAATTAGCAGATAACATCCATTGCTGCAGCTAGGGTAGGGTTCCAGTTTGTGCGGACCTACCATCTGAATACAGTTCGCGGACGATGCTGACGTTTCCGGTCGCAGCAATCGGCACGTCAAAATGAATTGAAAATGTCATCCAACCTTAGCAAAATACACTCAGTTGATTCAGCTCGGTTCCAGTTGAGTCTCTCGCGAAACCAACTTGGTTGGCAAATGAGTGTATTTCGCTAATTTTGTGCAATTCGGGCTCAAGAAGAACTAAAAGTTGACGAAAATTCGGTGACTGCGCCTACTTGATGAGCCCCAAGAAGAGGAAAACCGATCGTTAGCTGTCGAAGTATTTTGAGCAACTTTATGAGTAGTGTATTATGCCACCCAACCTTCTTCAATTACCTCAGAGCTATGACTCAAGTTAAGGAGAAAACGAGTGCAGGTGTTTTGGAAAGTCAACCATCATAGGACCTGATTATGTACGTTTAACCTGGGATCAAGTCTTTACCATCTACACCCGAGCCGTAATACTCCGTGGATTCAGCTCTGACCAACAGTGTTCAGTGCTTAAAAATGACCATTTGCGTCACTCCACTGATCAATAATCAGGGCAACCTGAATGAGTCATTTACAGCCACGTGACTGCCTATCGTATCAGCGGGTCTCAGTCCGGCTAACTAGCGTCAGAAATCCAGGGAATGAAGAGCCAAAATTGTGAATTCCAAATCATTCTAGCAAGGTTGTGCCTTTTTTCGACGGATTCTGTGTAACAAGACACCTAATCAGTACTTCGGAAATGACGGAATACGTCTAAGCTGATCAACTCCTATGGATAAAACTTTGAGAAGGATAAACCACGATTATTGATGGGTGTTGCCAATCGATCTGGTGCTCAGCGTGTCTAGCACACTGTTGGTAGATAGTCTTCGTGGCGGTGGGAGGGCGCTTTTAACCCCTTTCAACTGAAAACAATGTTGTTAAGAAGTAATCTTCACTCACGGGTTTTTTTCAGGGAATGTACAGAATCTGAGGTGATTTAACTTCGTACCGTCAGTTTCTAAACAGTTGTACACGTACGACGCCAAAGCTTCAGACGCTTGAGTCACTCACCGGGAACAGTATCTTTTAAATGAAAAAAACCCATCTTATTCGGGTGTGCGGGTGAATCTTCTTCTTTGTACCTCTCGGTCAGAGGGCGAACCTTTTCGTAAAAACACTAATTTTGTTTCAACGCCAGACTTAGTAGAATTCAAGCTAAATCTATCGTTTATGGTGTTCTTCAACTGAATGTGTTACATGAAGGCATCCTCATGTTTCATCTGAGACCGGATTGGAGATATCGCAGTACATTGTTTAGACAACAGCCCACGATCAATTTCTCCTTCACTTCTTGTGGCTCATCAGTTGGGCGCAACCCTATGAGTGAGAATTCGTCACTCTTCTAAAGTAGATTCGTTGATTACATTTGACATTATCTCCTTTTTACTCAAACCAGTGTGTAGTGAAATTCATACAGAATGAAAGATCAATTGGGCTGCCACTCAAGGGGTAAATTGTAAATGAATTAAGCAACCATACTGCAGGAACTTTACTCCTAATTTTGGCATCAGCTTATCCCTTTTGTGCTGTGCACTGAGTGATATTCACCTAGGCTGCTGGCCTGCTACATTCTGACTAATCGTGTCGATCAGGTAACATCAATCACATTGAAAGCATATATGATAGACTAACTGATGTTAATCTCGCTGGCTAAGACGTGAAATGCTGAACGTGCAGCCCCTGTTTTTTTCCCATGGCTGCTGAGACTTTGGTGTTTTACGTTGGCCAACTGAAAAGTGGTCCAGACTACGTGTGAAGTGTCGCACGGTGTGGCGCCATAAACCGTTCTCCAGCCCAGTGGATGTCGAGTGACGCGCAACCGGCTGCCATTAACAGCAGGCAGTTCCCATACGCTACAGCACACGTGACAACTGATTTCCACTATCCAGGTCATCTGCGTAGACCAATCCTAGACACGAACAGATCAGGAGCTGGAATTTCTCGAATTCGAACCAGACAGTACGTTACTGCCACGCAAACCAGAATTAATGAGGTTTGTTACGTACACAGGATTGTTGGTGTATTAACAAGACGGGACCTTATCTGATTGGTGCGCTGAATTTATTGAATAATGCTTCGCCCTCCTATCTGGATTTCTACATTCACATTGGTTGATGCTTATTAATGACACTCTGCGTCTGTATAGAGCGGGAGAATAATGTAACAAACAACCTTCTGCACTTTGTATGCATTTGCCTGATACATTCAACTCGGGACTATCTGAAGTTTAAACACGCACACGGAACCAAATCACTTAGTCCACGTGCCTAAAACAGTTTCAGTGGTGTTCTTTGATCGACACGTCAGCACTGTACGCAGGAAGCACGAGACAGCTCAGTGGTTAAGGCGCAAGCTTACCAACAGCAAAATCAATGGTTCGAACCCAAACCCGGCAGCTTTACTACTCCTGTCTGTACCTGGGCAATCTGGCGGGATCTCAGCCCTCGTGCATGGCATCGAAAGGGTGTTGAAACTGAACGGTAAATTGTACGAGGATTATGGTCACATATGTTACTAAGTTGACGCCAAAAAGACACGAACTTGGGTCTCGCTCTATCAGTCTAATTTACCACAAATGCGTCGTGCACTAAACTTTTGAAGGAAAACACAGGGGTGACACTATTTGAGTGTTTTAGCTTTTACCGTAAAGCAGACATCAGATTGAATTCCGAATAAGAAAGATGCCTCTATGTTATGCATTCGGCATCCCAACGGTTACTCCAACTTGAAGGTTATGAAAGACGGGTGCTGAGGAAGCTCGGACCAGCTTGTTCAAATTCAGATAGAAGCAACTGATAGGTTAGAGCAAGACTCGAACTATAAACCCCATGTTCAGGAGTTGGGATCGTTAAATCCGCCTAATTTGGATTATAACTCGGCTTGTAAAGCTCCTACGGTTTCCTACCAAACGCGGTGATGCGACGAGATGAGAACTTCAGTATGGCTTCTCTGTGTCAGTACCGGCTTGACCTGGTGGTCCCAAACACGCCTGAATCCACAAAAGTCCAAGTGAATTCAGTCCGTTCTAATCCCTCATCACTAAGATATCTTTCATTCTGATGCAATCTGTGGTATCGTGGCACTCGTGACAACCAGTAGAATTCTGGTTTTTAGTCCAAAACGATTTGGTTGGTCTAAACACGAAAGGACGTCTCGTATACGGGAAAAATTTACACCCAAACACACAGGCAGCGGTTTCGACATTATTGACTTTTCAGCGTCAACGCATGAGGGGAGTTACCCCCGAGCCCAACGTAATAACTGGATTCTCGTCAAAACCCAGTATTCGATCTTCAAGCAAAGGCGTACAACTAACCGAAGGTTTTGTCACAATCTATTTAAAACTCGCCTTTCTTTTGATGTACCATTCACCATGAATCACCAGAAATGATAGACAAGCACCTCACTGCGGTTTATCCTGATAAAAGTCCAGTTTTCAATGGTCACGTAATTCTGTCGCTAGAACCCCTTCTAAGATATGCAACGGAGAGCTCAACCTTACCCATGGGCTACATCAACGCAAATCAGTCAATTTCAAAATCGGCTTGGTCTACTGGCAAGGTGGCAAATTTGTCCTATGGTTTTTTTGGACTGGGCGGGTTTGGACTTGTTAGTTCGTTGACCAGAGGACGAGTGCAATCACTGTCTCCGTCAAGCCTTTCTCACCTTCCTTACTGTTCGAAGCCAAGGTGGAGTTACGGCAGGTGGGAACCATGAAAAGGTTGGCAATATGGTGCGGTTACAGTCACCGTAAAATACAGTGGCATAGGTGACAGGTGCGGCGGATATCGACGGTACAGTGGTACAAGTACGGATGCATGAAAGACTGTAGAAACACAGAAGCGGTTGACGATACAATGATGGGGACTACATAAAAGAGAAATCTTCAGGTGTTTGATAATTTTTGGGACTTCGCTCCCTTACCTGAACTTGCATAGGTATGGAATAATCTCGTCTCAGTGGGGCCCCGCGAGGCAGCGACAAACACTAAGTCTGATGTTGATGAATATTCCACTTTGGTGTTAAAAATACAACTCTCCTATCCATGGTTAACTGAAGCACCGAACACTTACTGCTGAGACAAACTGTTCATGTAATGCACGGCAACAACAATTTAGAATAATACTTACCGGGAGCGTATTTGAGGCCCCACCAAATGGATGGGGGCATCGCTGCATGGTGAAATACGTGAAGAAATGTGACTTGATCCACTTTGCCTCTGCACAGGAAGAACACCGTATCCAACATCTCCACAAATTTCGAAAAATAAAACAAGTATCCTATGTAAACCAGAATATCTGTTTTTTTGTCTGTGGGATCTGGCGCCTCCACACAGCCAAGACCGTAACCAAGGTTAGCGGCGTGGTACACTGAGAGGATAACCACGTAGGCTGAATAGAATACCATAACAACATTATAGAGGATGATCAGATATTTCAAGGGGTCCCAGTCAGCCATAGACTCAGTCGATTTCGGTCGGTCTGCGTCAATCTTGAGTTTTTTCTGTACTTGACCTCGTTTTATGAGCTCAGCTCGCCAGGCACAAACGCCGACCACATAGGCCAAGGAAATGAGTGCAGTCGGTGTCCAGGATTGCATCAACGGATAGGTATCTGCTCGTGGATCCGGTTGAGGGGGTAGTATGCCACTGAGGCTACTGAATATACTTGCCTCAGTCATTATTAACCGACCGCGTTGGCTCCAATCGCACGATCACTGTCCCAGCGTCCGCAGAAAGTCGCATCCGCTCCGGCGCAACATTTGCGGTTACATAGTGGCAAGCTTGCAGCCCACACACACAATGGACCAATCACTCAACCGCTCGACTGCTTGTTTGTTCACGTGTACAGGTAACGTGCGCGAAGCCGGAGGCTTAACTTGGATCTGTGTTGCAGTTGATTGGCGGATTCCAATCTGGTTGTTCATTGGCTGTTTCGGACAGCCAATCGTTCCATCGCCTCATCCCGCTGTAGGCGGACCGCTGAAGAAAGCCTGCTTAACAGTTGACGGTTTCCCACATTCACTATCCGCTTTCGGGTCGAAACAGGGAGTCATTTGATCACAGCAGAATCTCTGCGCAATACTCAAACTTAGTTGCAATTAGTGATGTTTCAGGTGATCGGAGTTCACCCTGGGCTTGTCTTTACTTGTGTACTTTACTACTAGGACCACATGTTCCATGTTTCAACTCTACATAAAACATCATCTCAATTTGGTCTTTACCTTAAGAGATATGTAGTGTCCTATCACGAAATTTCTGCTTCCGTAGAAGGACACGGGCAGGTTTTTGTAGAAATCGCCTGCATAGGAGAAGACCGATACCAAAGTATACTTGTATTGATTGGCTTCCCAAAGAAGCCCATAGAAACATCTACCGAATGCACAAAAAGTCATCAGAACAGTCAGACAGAAATGGTGGAAACCAGAGTGTTTATTGTGGGGAAGACTTTTCCTATCTACTCGCCGGTTACCAACATGAAGCCAAACAGTCAGAGAAAGTTGGTGCAACACTGATCTCGTCCTCCTGATACCAAGATATTGAGCCTATTATTACTATTACCATTGTTAAGTTTCTTGGATTTAGTGCTCATATCGTGGCCCGAAAATCAATGTCATCGAGCAGGTCAAGATAAGAGGGGTTGAGTGTACCCTGATGCAACATTGTGGGCAGTTCTCTTTACGAAACGCTGATCACACATGTTATGACATGTTGTTGAATTACTATAGGGAGTTGTGAAACTCTGTTTAATATCCTTCCATTCAAGCATCGCTTCCTCCGGCATTGGGCTGTTAGAGATTGCCTTATTTCCAGAGGAATCGTTCTAAGTCCCTCATATTTAACCGTATATTGCAGTTATCTTCGTACTATGATGAGCTGCACTTTTCCGAGGTTGCCATCTCGCACCATAAGCACATGGCGGATGTGGAATTCAGCCGTTGGTGGTAATATTGTACCGTTCCGATTCACTTACCAACCTGCGAGTGGACAGGGCAAATTCACTGTTCGGTTGCCAGAAACATCCGTGTAGGATTGGACCGGACAAATGAAACATGGCGTTGATTACATATATCAACATGTTCCTTAATACCCACTCCAGAAATTGACTTTAATTCATTTTGGATACCTTGTGAACAAAGCATCGAAATCCTAGACGTCGGGATCCAGTTGAGGTATAAAGTAGCTAGGTGCTGTGGTACCGTCAATCAAGTCGAGTTAAGACAGACTCAAGGACACATCTTAACCGCTGCACACGCAGAAATCCGGGAATTCAGCGTCGGTCTTACTGATGCTCCGCTTTCACCTGGATTAGTTCTGTAAATGCTGTTCCCCTTGGGGTTTTTAGCATCGCTAACAGACTTGTCGACAAGGCACACAACAGCGTTATTGCGAACAATCGAGCGCAAGAGCACTTTTGATCTTGATCCAGGCTGTCTAATGAGCGTTGGGGGAACACTCATCATCGTCGGCCATGCTTCTATGAAATGCTTGAACAGTAATCATCGTTGGCCGTTGCTGAATTGGTTGACGGCTTGACTGGTCTTGATGCTTACCGGCTTCACACCTTGGTGACGTTTAAGGACCTCAGTAGGTCTCGAACATTGAGGGATTTTTTCAGGGACATGACCTTCCTGACAGTTCTGCACTACATCAATTCACATACTCCATGAAGGGCTATAAGGCACTTGGCACACAATTCTGTTTGCTACTCGCTGTCCGAATCAACTAGGTATACTCAATTCCTACGAAAAGTTTCTCGATAAACCCATGGAAGATTGAAAGGTTCCCTTAAATCTAGATGTGATATGTCTATCTCATTTTTTCTCAGTTTGTAGCGTAACTTTTGGCTGTATAGAACCAGCAAAGAACAGTGACTGGTTGTTAATCTTGTAGCTCATATTTATGATAAAATTTTCCGAGTCACGGACTCATTAAGGACCGTGGTGTCCATTGACATCCTTCAAATCACCGATCTGCAAATAGTTGTCCTCTAGATTCTGTTGTGAATGTATTGGTTTCTTTTGTTCACAAATTAAGTAGTATGGGACGGCAGGTGACGCTTAATCCAAAAACCAAAGAAACTTCGCATCGAAACTTCGAAACAGTCTGTGCGAAAGGATTCCAACGTGGTATTGACTACAAGGGCCTATATCGACTCTCTCTAGATCCAGCATTTTCATCAGGCATGTGAACTTCAAAGTAAAAACTGTACGAAAATGATGTTCAAGTTAACTCAGTTTCCAGGGGCTATGCTTAAACGTAGTAGGCTGTTTGCGAAGAGTTAATTTGAGGAACAGTCTGTCGCCCGCCACAAGGTGTGCGAAATAGGATTGGTGTTTTTGTAATGTACTACTCATAAGGCTGCTGAAATCCGTCGACAGTCAGCTCAGTTTCCAGGGACTATGCTTAAACGTAGTAGGCTGTTTGCGAATAGTTAATTTGAGGAACAGTCTGTCGCCCGCCACAAGGTGTGCGAAATAGGATTGGTGTTTTTGTAATGTACTACTCATAAGGCTGCTGAAAATCCGTCGACAGCCCACGACCGATTTCGCCCTTTCTGGGGCTCATCAGGTAGGCGCAGTCCCCGAGTTTCCGTCAACCTTATGTTCTACTTGAAGACAAATTGCACACTCATTTGCAACCTATCACGATATCTCGAATATCGTAGCGACTGAAACATGAGGTGGCCTGGTGCAGCACATTCAGTTGCCTTAGAGCATCACAAACGAGAGATTCGGCTGGGTTCCAGGTGAGTCTCTCGAAAAACCAAATTAGTTTGCAAAGGATTGATGTTTCTTATAGATAAGGACGCAGATCGCATCAGACCACATGAGCGACGCTGTCAATGTCAAAATCTTTGTGTATTTCGGCAATGGGCTACATGGAACCCTGGTCTTCCGATACCCAGATGTCTCGCTTCCGTTCAATAACACGTGATTGTGAGAGAACTATTCGGTGGATTGTAGCGAAAGTCTGAAATTGCATAAGAATGATAGAAACTCTTAGAAGGTAAAATTTCAAACGGGGAGAAAGACAATTTGAATAGACAAGGTGATTCTCTGGTTGCCTATAATTACGATCACCTAACGCCAACTCTAATCTCATACTCACTTGTACGGTGAAGCTAAAGTAAGATCAGATGATATGCTTGAGTGGCTTTGATGCGAAAACTGACTTCGTTGTTTATTTCGACAAGCTTTCGCGGTTCGTGGAAATGATAAAAAGCATTTCATCTTTGACCATTTTCTCTCTCCCGCTCACTTATTTTTTCTGTCATGTAGGAACTCAACTCACTGACCTGTGATTGGTCACTTGGTTTCACGCCGCTGACCGTGCATCCATCGGATCGATAGACTAATCAGATGGGCATTCTGACGTGCGCGAATTTTGACTCGAGGTCGTGATTTTACTCATTCTGGCTCTGTGTGTATCCACTCTAACCACCTGATCGTTCTATCTAGTGAAGATTCGTTCTGACTTTATCAGTAAATAACCTGTGCTAACCTGCCTATCCGCATGAGATACCACGTCTTTTAAGAACGTGAACTGGTGAACAATCGACACGCTCTCAGACGCACGATTCTCAAATAAGTTCTCTGATGGATATTCTTTATCTACTTGATAACCCACACACTCGGACAGCCATATCTACCCTGTGAATACCACCGTGGAGATGTTCTTGCGCACAATGCCACAAAAAACTATCTATAAGCCTGGATACTAGTTAGACAATCTGTGATCGATGATTGGTGAGCCCGACCGTCACCGACGCCCGAACGCTGCGGTACCTCCCAAAAATTCGGACGCCACTGCTCCGAAACTAAATTTCGTATGACGCTAACCGAGCCTTCAGTATGGTAGCTCTAGGCTCGGCATTGAACTCGTATCTGCCGGCCGTTAATAGGGTTGTAGCGTGGGACGTCAGGAAGTCAGCGGTATTCGACGTTCGAGAGGGTGTAGCGACGGCACACGTCGGTTCTGAAATGTGCAGATATAGAAATTGGTAGTACTGAATCCACCCAGCACACATTCGCACTGGTCGGGTGACACAGGAGAGAAGACTGGAGCGTGGCAGCAACACACGTGTATTCAACCGAAACCGAAAGCGGAAGTCAAGGGTACAAAGATAGGTCAAGGTCAATCAGGGGGTTTACAAGCGGGCTACTCTTTCCTGTCCGGGGCTCGTGGTGGCTCATCCATGGTATCTGCAATACGAAGAGAGAGGGAGAAGAGGACGTTGCCAGAAACTACAGAGTTTTTATTATTCATGAATGGAACAAGTCGTTCATGCTCTCCCTGGATAGAATTTGTTATAAATTCAACCCATAATTGTAGACTATTCCTTAGGAAATGTAGATTTTACTGCACACACCGACTGAAATATACGATCAGCTCCACAATCCTCCGTTGTCGGTCGACAGTCTTTGTCAGGACATGCATCCAGATGCTGGGCGAAATGCGTTGATCGGAGTTCTTCTTTACGCTTCCAAATGTCGGTTAACTGAATGATGCGTATTTTCACGCTGGTACATGATGTTCTTTTTGATATCTCTCCAGAGTCGCCTGCTAGGTTTCTTTATGTGTGGAACTGACAGTCTAAATGATCACCACATTGGAGATCGAAATTTCGTCACTCAGTTAGGGGGGAGACATCAAATGCTCCAATCGCAGCTACCTACCCCCTCCCCTCCCAAATCATCGGTGACAATCAATGTACGGCAAGTACGCGGTTCTTACAGTTGACGATGATGTCGCGTGATACGTAGGCTATTATCCTTTGGCGACAATGTCTTTTGTTGGTGTGCGTACTGCTGTACACACCTCATACTGAAATTAAGCTTGATTTACTGAGCTGAAACTGCAGATAGTGTGTTTTTCATCGCCTTGTCAGAACTTGTTCTTATAGCTCCAAGTTTCTTACCGATTGCATATCAGGCCTGCTTGCACAAAAACGCAATCGATCAGCTTTTTGGTCTTTCAGGAGTTTTGCCGGTCTTCTCGCTTTTCCGACGTCGATTGGTGCTAAACCAACCATCACAACTTGTTTTTCGCAAACAGGTGGTTGATGATCTTCTTTACAAACTGGCCCAGTAGCTTTCAAAGTTCAAATTTAGACTCGGATGAGCACAGCTCAACACGTCGATTGAGCTATGAGCCGGACAGATTCAGTTCCCTTATGATCAGTAGGGTTTGTCGATCAGGGTTCCTGTATCCGTCCGTTCGGAAAAGCTCTATATACATTTCACACACCTTATTACCTAAAGTATAATGATTCTTCATGACCTGAAGAGAGAGCGGCTGATTTATATGGGACCTCATCCAGTGTACTCACCGTCTGCTGTTGATGGACTCATCAACAGTCTGATAATGAAATCAAGAATGAAACGGGATCAATTAAAATCAGTCTGTTCTGAGAAGAGGGGCCCCTATCCTGAAATAGGCCGACCTGTTCATATCATGGGACAGCCAAATGCCCATTGTGTTACACTGTTAGGTTTGCGAAGAAAGTAGCACTTTTTTGAACATCAGCAGGTTTCCTTCGTATTTGAGCAATCTCTGCAGTTTGACAGCGCTGTATTCTCGGAGATGGTGCCCTCAAAATCAACCGAATAGGCATTCAGTGTTCACAAAACTAGTAGCTTGTTTTGGTATACCCCAAAACATAAAACAGCCCGTATTGCTCCAGTTTTTGAATCTAAACTTTTACTTCCAGACAAAGGTGTAGTAATCCTGGCTACTATTTATGGCAGGGTTCCTGTAAGGTGCATTTCAACTTAGTTTTGATGGGGGACTCACTTGAAACTCATCTGAAGTACTCGTTTATGGTGTTTCTAAGCAAATATGTCCAATTCAGAAACATGAGGCGGCTTGGTGCAGCACATCCAGTTGCCTGGAAACATCACAAATGAAAGATTCAGCTGGGCTCCAGGTGAGTCTCTCGGAAAACCAGATTTGTTTGCAAATAGGTGCATTCACCTGGAGCCTGTTTTACTCCATTTTCTAAACATGAAATCTTATTTCCTGAGAAAGGTGTAATAATCCTGGTTACTGTTTATAGGTGGGTTTCTCCTGGAAGGTGCCTCAGTGGTGATCCTTATAAGCGGCAAACGATGAATTTTAAATTCACATTACTCTTGTATGAAAAACCCTTCTCTTGGAGCCTATGTTCTGGTGAGTTCACACCAAAGGGGAAATCACCGGCTCTTGTTAGATCTCGTCAGCAGTGCATATCCAATGGCCGTTTTGGGGTTCGAACTCCGGACGTTTGACATGCGGGGCGAACGTGTTACCAGTACTCGACCAATGCACGCTAGACGCAAGTGAATCATCACGTCTGAAAGGTTAAATATGTTCACAATTGATCGATGCGATTGGTATGCTTCAGACTTCAAACGATAACTCGGTAACTGCTATGGTTGTTAACCGATCGAAGAACTGGCCTGTCAAGACATCCCAGTGAGGTAGTACGACCAACAGTCAAAACCTGCTCGAAAATTTTCGATTAGTTGTGGATCAAACGCTCTGCATTCTGCATTTAAAGGATTTGAATGCTCCTATTCTGCAGTCTACCCGGTTTGGTAGCCACACAACTACACCTTTATCAATATATCTAACCCGTCAAATTAATGGCGCGCTTCACTGGTTAAAACAACGAAACTTTGAGCCAACCGTTACCGGAGCGTCCCATTGTTCTTCAAAGGGCATGTGTCTCAGGTGACCACAACTGGCTGTGATATTCTCACAACCATACTCGTTGATCCTCGTAGAACCCCTCAAGATTTGAACGCTAGTTCCAAAACTGGGTGTTAGGTCAATCAGTCGTACAACTACAACATCTTTTCGGTGATTGGCTGCTTTGCCGCTCAAAAAAACTAACAGAGATGAGGTTGCCCAACCCTAGGCAGTCAAGATGCCGAGGTTGGGTTCGAACCATGGATCTTTCGGTCAGTAAGATTGCGTTCGGTGAAAGGTACCGTGGGTTTTGCTTCACGAATACATCAGCTTTTTAGTTGTCACTTGTAAAGTGTTCAGTCGCTGGAACCGAGTGCAGTGGCGGTGACAGGAACTGGTGTGAAGCTGTGTGGGAAGCTGAAAGTATCACGCTGCACATTGGCAGATATGCAGGTATTAGCAAACCGGGGGTCATGAAAGATGACCTTGAACCTGAGGACCAAGAAGAACCAACATGTCAGCCAGTCAGTGGTTGTCGTATCCACAGATGAACCTCATTCATGGATGTCGTTCTTGGTTGGTATATCTCTTTGGATATGTTCCATCGCTGATATAGCTGGCATCGTCGGTATAGGATAGGTTAGCTGTACGCCGTAGTCCAGTGCTGAAGGTGCTCACGACTGGACAACAGCTGAGTTGCATCGGAGATGAGGTGGCTACCGATTTTGTTCCAAGAGATGGAACATGGTGATGTATGATCCATCATGTTTTAATTTACAAGGGTGAAGGGAAGTTAGGATAGGGTGCGGCTGAACCTGGGCTTGTATGATCAACCGAATCTTAACAGGGATATTCGACAATATGGCAAAGTTAGGATAGGGTGCTGTTGAACCTGGGCTTGTATGATCAACCGAATCTTAACAGGGATATTCGACAATATGGCCCAGGCACTGTGAATTGAATTGGAATCTCGCCTTCTTGTCGCTTGACTGCTCTTTACATAAGATTACCAGAATATGTCCAGAAACCAGCAGTCGGTCAGGCCAATTTTGATAAATCAATAACTGCTCACAAGACCATATTTCGAAAACGTGATCTGCTGATGGTTTGCACGTGATTTTAAACATCTCATCTATGATTGCCGGTCCCGTGCTTCCTCGAGGTCAAAACGATTACGTCTGGGGAGCATCACCAGCCTCCCCTATTTTCTCTTGCAACTGAAGTTTGTCTATGCTGAAAAAGTAAAGAACTGGACATTTGTTTCATCCCTTTTGGGAAATCGCTGGTGTGGATTTGAACCCGTGACATTCCAGACAGTAGAGGAACACCTCGGAATTCGATCACAAATGGTTCGTCACCACTGTGAATAACCTACACTGGAAAATCCTTCAACAAAGCAGGTTATATTACATAACAAAGGCCTATATGGGATTTTTCTCCTCTTTGAGGAGATTACTTGCAGTTTATAGGTAGTAAAAGGTTACAGACATGTTGCTAGTAGCTTCACCTTGCAAATCGAGAAGCTTGGTACTAAATACTTTCTAGTCTGTCGTATCAGCGAGATATAGTCTCCAACTGCGTTCAAGAAAGTTTCCGAGTAAAATTCCCTAAAAGATATGAGCTCAGCATTTCCGATGATTTTTTTATTCCTGTGTACCTATTTTAATCCTCGATACATTCGACGAACAAGTTTTGTGTGGTGCGATGGGAGTTCGATTCAACATGCGGCAAGAAAATGAAATTTTTAGACGATTTGGTTCGGATTTCCCGCTCGCTCAACTTATCGATTGCAGATTCTCTACGTTGATTGACCAAATTTTCAAACAGCCAATGACCACGAGTGACAGCGATGGGTGAGAACAACAGCAACAACACTCTCCGAACTTCTCAACCGTCCGAAAACATATGACGATTATTGATCAGTTCTCGAAAATCGAGGGCGAGCATCCTTCGTAGAAAACGGACAGTAGAAATCAGCAAGAATATCAATCTAGATGGAAGATTCATACTGTTCACCTGGCTGGTTAAAAGCATTCTAGGAATCCGAAATACTCACCATTTGAATTTGAAACTGCATTCTCGCACATTTTTTCATAACATGGTGAAGGATAGAGGTAAACAAGAAAGTATGCACCAGGAACCAACCTGGGTTGACTGGCAAACTAATTTCCTCAGTTTTGTTCTTTTATGGGTTAAAAATTACTCTCGATGGACCAACAAATTCTCGCACCTAAGATATAATGTTGATTCGGTTCGTAAAGTTTCCGAACAGCGGCTACACAGACTGTTTTTTTTGCAATAAAACCTGGAACCAGGTACGCGTGAAAGTTACTGTATCTCAGTCAACTATCAAGTGACATATCAGGAGAGAATTTCACGGTTTTTAGGCTTAGAAATCTTACCGCTCAGCTGTACATCACCTTGATCAGTCATCCTATATCAAGGTTTTGGTCAGGCGATACTATTCTTCTAAGCATGTTCCTTGCCTGAATATGCAGACGTTCAGTTTCTGTACAATTGATAAAGATTGGAT